TAGAATCCATGAATTGTGACAAGTGGCGAGAGGAGGTGATGTTGGAGGTTATTAGAAGTTATTTTTTACTACTATAAATAGGATGTCTTAGACATAAGCAAAATATGTTGTAATTTACTATTGTACAAATTACTCTTAAAATTACTCCAAGTATCCGAGCGTTGAGAAAGCGAGTATTATAGAGAATGTACGTGATGTAAGCACACCATCTTTTACCTTAATGAAATTTACTTTATTTTGCTTTAAAGTCTTTTATTGTCTTTGCACCTTTCTTCCTCACTTTATTCCTTTCTCCTCTTTTTCCTAAGCAATTCTTTTCTCTTCATCCTCAATCTAACTTCACCTCTCTAAACAAACTTTCTTCTTTCTTTTATTGAAAGCTTTATTTTATCTTTTAAGTTATTCCGTAGTCGAATAGATGTTTCTTTAAGATTCTTTTACCCCAATACTGTTCGAGTGTGGAACTTGGATAGATTTTCAAAATAAAAGCCTTTAGCACATGTGCTAGGATCAATCTGATCGATCCTGTGAGTCACCAAAGTTAGATTTGGAAGATCAGCGGTTGTTTTCCGATTTTCAAGGGAAACAATGACTTTATGTCATGTTTATACTACTACTTAGGTAGAGTAGTTTTTCATTGTTGTTACTTGTATGCAACTATTTAGGGGGAACATGATAGTCTGTTATGCCTGTTATTGTTGTTGCTGCTATAGAACCATTTGATGTGTCTAAGAGAATGCATTATTCTTTGCAGTTGGTTGTGGTGTTCATGGGGAGTGTGCTTGTGCTTATGTTTGGTGTTTTTTTGAAGTGTGGTTCCATTGTATGAACTTGCATATGAGTTCATATGTTTTTTTCTAGTGATTTTGGTTTTCCCCTTGAAAGGGAGTACTGATTATGTATGACATAGGTAGTTGTGTACCTATCTGATCTCTAGCGGCAAGGTTGTAGTTTGTACAGAGCTTACATATTCTCATGCATCTTGTGTTGGTTTGTGATGTCAGACCTGATGTCTTGACATTATGTTGTCAAGTGTTCTTTATTGGTTTGATAGCATTGTGCTTGGGTTTCTTTATTTTTGTTTTATTTCTGTTGTGTGCTAAGGTTATTTTAGCCAAAAAATTTCAAATGGGGAGATTGTAAGTTCTGTGTTTTTGGATTGACTACATTTTGATAAAGCAACATGATGTTAGCAAGATGTTAAATCAGATGTTCTACCATGACAGTCAGACAACATGTTTTGTATGATGTTGTGACATGTTCCAGATGATGTTATACCAAAAAGTTAGGGCATAACTCTTTTGATATTTTTAGTGTGATTTTTGAGTATGTTCTATTGCACATGTGTGCGATATTTATGGGAGTATACTGTGGGAATTTCTGTTATGAAAAATCTGTTAGTTTTCATAAAAAGGTTCCTTGAGCCTTTTTAGAAAAGTTTGTATTTGGCTCCTTTTATTGTGCAAGATGATTTGCAGTAAGTTAAAACTGATTGCTGCTATTTGTGCACCTCAAGAAGCCCAAGTCTATTAGGTCTGAAGACTATTTAAAGTAAAGACCAAAACCTATTGATATAGAGAACTCAACATGAAGATTTTGGGAACTAAGGATTACCGTTGTTTTGGTTGGTCTTAAGGGTTTAGTGCTTGTTAATTGTATGTCACTCATGTATTTTCTGATGCATTGAAGTTGACTGATTGTTCATTGTCCATGGTCCACTCTAAAGCTTTTAAGCAAGAGTGTATTTTTCTTGATTAAAGCTTTTAAGAAAAATCAAGTATTATCTTGGAAGTGTGCTACTTCTATTTGTTTGTTGTTGTTGAATTGTCATTGGGATTGTGACTGATTAGGAAGTGAGAGGGGGATCTCATGTCTAGAGTGTGTCTAGGTAGAAGTTGCACAAGATAGTGATTAGGTGAGAATTTGTAAACAGGGGAGTTTTGCTTTGAACTAATACTATCATAGTGAATTTCCTCCCTGGCTTGGTAGCCCTCAGACATAGGTGTGTTGCACCGAACTGGGTTAACAATTCTGGTGTTAATTTTACTTTTCTGTCATTTAATGTTTTGCATATTTTACTTGTGTGATCAAGTTGTTGTTGATCCTGGTGTTGTGACATCTGTCTTGACATCTAGTATTTGCGTGCCAGAATTTCATTAGCCTCCATGAATCTATTGTAAGGAAAGAATCTTTCAAGAAACTTCTCCTCCAACAAATTCAAATCTGTTATCACAAGAGTAGATTGATCAAGATACCATTCCTTAGCTTTCCCTATCAATGAGTGTGAGAATAGTATCTTGAACAATGATTCTTCTCCGCTTCTGATGCTCCCATTGCTCCCACAATTTTATAGAACTTAGTAAAATGAGTGAACGAGTCTTCATGATCTAGCCTGGTAAAGGGATTTGAATATAAAAGTTGAAGTATTCCCGTCTTCATCTCTGCGTGCCTTCCATTGTTTGCATTGCGAGCAAACTGAGCATTGTATCATGGACTATAAGTTCATAGACCTCTAGGAGGTGGTGGTGGTACTTATGCCATGATTGTCATAACAATGGGTGTAGTTGGTGTATTACTTGAAGAAGTTCCTCCACACTCCCTTCTTTCTTTAGCTAGTTGTCTTTGTCTTCTGGTTTTGCTATTAAGCTTCCGCGCAGTTCTATCAATCTCAGGATCAAATAAAAGTTGGTTTGCAGGCACACTTCCTCGCATAAAACAGATATTTGAAACACTTAACCAAACAAATTAACAAGCACAAGGAATATAAACTGAGGTGAAAGATGATAATACAAAGCTTAAACACAAGATAAACTACTGCAATGCTTGCAATATTAATCAATAATCCTCGTCAACGCTGCCATTTTATTAGAGCTGCGAATACAGAAGGTTTTAAAAATTATCTCCACAAGGATTGTAATGACATTGCTTGTCGTTTTGCAGTTTATGATGTTTTAAGTAGGGCTTTCAAAGTTTTTTTGTGTTGGATCATAAGTTTGTCACGATTTTAGTAACAAAGATTAAATTCTAAAAGATGTTTGTTTAACAAGACATATCAAAGATAGATTTCATCAACCTGACTTGTATATATTCGATTAATCAAGCATATGAACTTGTTTTCGATTAATATAATCACGTATCCTCTTAATACTGTCTATGTCTAGAGTGATGTCGTGAGCACTATTGTATCCGTCATAAGATGATGTCTCCCGCTAACAACAAATACAATAATCTTTAAGATCAACACAAAGCAAATGTCAACTCACAAATCTATGTCTAGAGTTTGTTGTTGATAGATGAGTATTTTAGATCAAGGCTTGTAAAATCTATGTCTAGAGTGATACAAATCATAAATAGATCTTTAAGAACAAAAACATTCAACATATATTAATCATCCACTTGTTCATATACAAATAGATCAAAAGATATACATACAAGCTAAGATAGACTACGTCTACCTTTGATACAAAGGATTTAGCTACCCATAACCATGATAGCTTGATTCACAAGAAAAGAGAGAAGATGAATGAGCATCCAAGATGAAGAATTGATCTAGGATGCAAATCCAACTTCTACTTGTAAAATATCACTCCTTGAAGAAGAAATGATGAACTTAGGATTTTTTCTTTTAAGCCAATGTAACAATATGATCCCCAAAATGTAACAAAAAGTACATAAATATCTAAACAAAATTTGTCTCGCTCGCACTGCGAACTTCACTTATAGGCACATGAAGTGCCTCTGAACAGTTAAACCGCCCCTGAAGATTCTCCGATTTCGCACTGCGAAGTTCCTGTTCGCACTGCGAACTTCTTCGCTCAGGCCTCACACTACCATTAGCAATGGGTTTAGCTACTGCCATCCAAATGTTTCAGCTTGCTTTGTCCTCGCTTTGAGCTCGCAATGCGAGCTCGCATGCGTTTCGCTACCTGCTCGCACTGCGAACTTATTGAATTCTTCATTAATTCTTTGGCTTTCTTGTCCATTCAATTGTGTCTTGTTCTTTGATAATCCAATCTAATTCCTACACAATAACACACATATTAAGGAATCCAAAGGTAAAATCGATTTCATTGAAGAATCACAATAGAACATGGAATAAATCAATTAAAACTTGAGAAATGAGTTGAAAAATGACAAGAATAATAGTTCAATTTAAGATTATATTTGGCATTCAACAATAGTCACTTCATTGAAACGTTGAAAGTATTGCCTCAAAAACTCAGAGTTCCCTTAACGAACATTAAATAGACTGATTGTTGAAACCTTCAAATACTTACTCGTCGAAAACTGATGGACCACTTTCCTTGAGATGTCTTAATAAGTAACTTGTCATTGACAAGAGAGGGAGGTTCATGAATCACTTGAGAATTACCTCCTTGAAAATGTTTGACAAGAGTTTGCATTTCACATAGACAAAAGCTCAAATTATTGTCATCAGAATATTGATGGTGGCAATGTGCTCATAAGGGTCACTTTTTCCATCAAATTTCAACAATGATGAATGTTTAAAGTTTTTTTGTATGAGGACACCTCAAATCTCCTAGGAGAGGTTAGGGATTTATGAGCTCATCGTCTTCAGGCAAATTGTCATAGTAACATCATTTCTAAAAGGTCATGATGTTATTGACGCGACCCATAACCCGTCAGATGACTCTACTTAACTCTTCTATAGCCATTTATAATATTGTTTATTACAATACCACATTCAATAAAAAAAAAAAACTCAAAATTACCCAAATTTTCCTTTTAACAAAGTCCGCATTTACTTCATTTCATTTATCATTTGTAAAATGATCAAATCCAAATGAGACGTATAACTTTCCCAATTTTTATTTTTTATTTTAAAAAGTGAGTTCGGAACCACTAAAGAGAAATAGGTAGCAGCAAAAACACAAGTTTAATCTTGAAAAATGAAGGAATGAGTTTCCAAATTTCCATGTTCGAGTAAATGCAACTTGTGCGACTGAAGTTTACAGAGAGCAGAGGGTTTCATACTCACGATGTCAGGAATGGACGAAGAAGCTCCGGACGTTTTATGCCAACTGGAAAACGTTCAAGGTTTGGTCGACGCTTTAACTTCCGTCAGGTGGAAACGCCAGCAAGACGCCGTCTTGGAGTTATCCGAACACGGCATCGTTTTGATCGTGGAAGAAAGTGGGTGCCTCCAAGCCAAGGTTTATCTCAAAAAAGAGCTATTCATTCGCTATGATTACAGTGCAGAAGGACGACCTCGTTTTGGAGTGAGTTTAGGGCTTTTTGTTGATTGCTTGAACGCCTTTTCGGTTCCTGCTCATTCCAATTTGATTCAGATTCAGTATCCAGGTCCTGATATGCAAGTTATTCTCAAGTATGTAACTGCAAATTTTTGTGTTTTTTTTTTCATTGCAAAATTACATAAACTGCAAATTTTTATACTATAAATTGCATAATTACATAAATTTTGGACTAACATCATAATTCACACTATTAGTCATCCAGCATCAAGTTATGACAATGTTATCCCCTTGTATCATATTTGTTTTATGATGATTTGATTTATTATTTGAGGTTGAGAACATTCAAACCCTATATATTAAAGTGCTTTTCCATGTCCTTCAGCTCTCAAAATTAAATTTTGTAATGTTGAAGGACATGGGGAAAGCATTACAAACCTGCAAGTCCCCCTGTCCTTCAGCTTTTGAGAAAATTAAAGCTGCCATATCCACCTTAAATCGCCAGGCAGCTGCCATCCTACACAAATTGGCAATGGCAGTCCTCAAAATATCTGTCACGACAATCTGCCTTGCCGCCGCCATGGCCAATATCTGAAAACACCAATAGTTATTGACTTTATATGTGCTTGACACATGAGTAGTTTTAAAATCATACTTGAATAAAACTAACAAAGCACGATCCATAATCCTATCAATGAAAATGACCCTGCTATCAAGAAATCACTTCCATGTATGACTGTCTCAAATTCCAACAGATGATGGCATGTTACGGTTTAAGTCAAGTTCTAACAGCTTCTAGCCTTTTACAGCTATTTGGGTTTCTTAGCTTGAAATAAAAGTGACTCATAGCACCAAAATATTCACAGGCTACTGAAATCCAATTATAATTTGTCAGACAAGGTGTAATTCTTATTACTTATTGTAAACAAAACTTCTACCGAATGAAAATTTCTTTATCAAGTAAGAACCTTCGATTGAAGATGCTATTCCTTTCGGAATTATAGTAATAATGGTAGTTTATTGAGTAGAATTCTTGATCTGATCACTCATCACTCTTTTGAACTCTACATCGAAAATACTTCATAGAATTGTCATAACTGTTTCTTAAATGTACTTCCTCCACATCTTTAGATCTGTAGATTCGCTGGATGCCAGTATTTGTGCAGAGATCAGAACAAGGATTCCTGATACTATTGCATGGGACTACAACTTTGAACCTGCTGGGGCTAACCCTTTAACCTTTACTGTTAAGGTATGCCATAAATTTCTCAGATGGCTTGCCAATCAGCTTGTATGGTGACCTATTATCGTTTAGATGTCCTTAGATTTTTCGAATGTACTTACCAATTCCTCGCAACCTCGAGGGCCATTTACAAAATTTTGGGTTTAATGTAATTGTTCACCGGTGGAAATTGAATTAAAAAAAATAAAGTTGTTTATTGATACGAAGAGGTTTACCTGTCATTTAACCATTATATCACTAGTTACTAGTTAATCTTTCAGTAATACACACAGCATCTCATATAAGTTTTTTAAACAACAGTGTCTTATATATGTTGAAATTAGCTTCTGTATCTTATTCTTAATTTATTTGAAGCTTTCTTGTCTAACTTCATCCCATATAATCATTTTAACTGGGAAGCTCCTATGAGTTGAAATTTGATCCAAACTGGCCTTAGTCTGCAGCACTAAAGGAAGCTATTGAGGATCTTGAATGGCCTGGGTCAAGCATCCAGATAACTATGGAGCCAAATCCTCCTCGTGTTACCTTGAGAGCTGAAGGACACGGGGACTTGCAGGTTTGTAATGCTTTCGACTCAAATTGTTACATGCTTTGTTTTGCTCTCAAATTTGAATTCCACATATTCACAATTTTTGTTTTTCAATTTTCAGATAGACTTCATGTATTCTGCGAATTCTGAACTCTTGGTAGCATTTCAGTGTGATCATCAGGCTTCTTTCAAGTATTATTATTTTTTAACTTAAAAGAATTTTTTTACTTAAATGCACGGTACCATTTCCCTTCCATCAACTTATGTATCATTTCTTTGCTTATGGTTTACAGGTATAAATATAAGTTCCTCAGAGCATCAACTTCTAATATGCCTAGTAGTGTTATTAAAGAAAATAGAGGAAGCAAGTTAAGCATTGGGAGAGGTGGAATGTTAAAAGTGCAGCATCTGGTTTCAATTTCCAAACCTGCCTCGCACTCTTATGCAGATTCTGCTGGCTATCAACAACCTGGTCGAATAGCTCATATTGAATTCTTTGTGAAACCAGAGGAAAACGAAGACTAGACAAATTGTTTTTATTAAGTAGAATCAAGGAAAATGTCTACCTTATCATTTACACACACTGCTTTAAATCTGAAAAGATCTCTTGGAGTTTTCCATCCATTATTGTATATTTATAAAGCATTGTACTTTGGATTTAAAAAGAAAGTGGGAGGGAAAAAATGAAAGAAAAATATTTTTATTTTTGCCTGTTTGGTCCGAGAGAAAAATACTAAAACTTTTACCAATGTACTATAGTGGTTCTAATCAACTATTTTATAAGTTCCTGAGGGTTATAAATAAGAAAATAAAAACAAATGGAGGCAAGGTTGACGAAGGAGAGCCATAAATGAGGCAACAAAAATGGATTTTTACTAGAGTATTGAACATTATGAAAAAATTTCTCTTTTAGAGTAACACTTTTGTGAGACACATCACATATTTATCTAAAACCTTAGGATAATAGGTGTATGAATTTTCTCACTTATAAATGTTTAAGTCATCACATTTTTATCTAATATGAAATTATTATTCAGACTACTTTCACTTGTTAATATTTTACAGAATGACATCAACGAGGGAGGCAAAGAAAGCTCTAATAGACCAATAAGATATGAATAAAGATAGACTATTATGGTAAATACCTATGATGCTGGCAAAGAAAGCTCTAATAGACAAGATATAAATAAAGATAGACTATGGTAAATACCTATGATGCTGGTCCATAAAAAGAAACTACAATGAGTGTGTTTTTAATTGATGCATTAGATTTGCACGTTCTTTACGTTTAACCAAAACCGAGTTATACTCCGTTTGGCATGACACAAATTTTGCATGCCATATATTTTAATATGAAACAATCAAGTTATAGCATCTATATAAACATTATAATATTATGTCTAGTCTAGCACTAAAACATATACCGATCAAACAATTATAACATGGCTTCAATTATCAACCAATTTTTGTTGTTATTTCTCTGGATTGTCATTGTTCCCATTTTTGCATTTCCCATCATTACGACAAAAGAAAATGGTGTACAGCAAATTAGTTTACATCCCAAAACAACTGTGCGCATTTACAATCATCTAGGAGGTTATGATTTTGATGTTCATTGCAAATCCAAAAATGACGATTTAGGGAATCAATTGGTTCACGATAATGAATACTATCAGTGGGATTTCCATCCTAATATTTGGGGTTCAACGTTATTCTATTGTCATATATCATGGACTAATGGTGAAGGAACATATGATATCTACAAACAAAAAAGGGATTTTTCTAAAAGGTGTAAACAATATTGTGACTGGTATGTTACTAAAGATGGTATACAAGGGTTCAAACAAGTATTGGATCGAAATGAGACACAGCATGATTCGGAGCAAGACACATTTCTTAACTGGGAATCACGACCATAAAGATGTTCAACGTGGAATTGAATGTGCAATGATGGAATATAACAATAAAAAGCTGTAAAAAGAGTGTATTTAATTGAAATACAATAAACGAAGTTTGACTTTTATTTTAATTATGTGTAAAATAGCTTAAATAGATGCTGATGAATTAACGGTGTAAAATTTTTTACACTATTGGCGCATCGTAATTAATCGCAAATTCTTGCCACATTATTTTCATAAATGACATTATATAATAAATAAAAATATAAATACTTTTATTGAAACATATTATTATTATTATTATTATTATTATTATTATTATTATTATTATTATTATTATTATTATTAGTAGTAGTATTAGTATTATTATTAGGAGTATTATTATTATTATTATTATTATTATTAGTATTAGTATTATTATTAGTATTATTACTATTATTATTATTATTATTATTATTATTATTATTATTATTATTATTATTACTATTATTATTACTATTAATAGTATTATTACTATTATTATTATTATTATTATTATTATTATTATTATTATTATTATTGCTACTATTATTATTACTACTATTATTATTACTATTATTATTATTACTATTACTATTATTATTACTATTATTATTATTATTCTTATTATTATTATTATTATTATTATTATTATTACATGTAAATTTAGCTTGTGGAAAAAGAAAAAAATTTAAATTATTATTATATTACATAAAAGAAAAGAATTTTCTCGATTTTTTAAAAATAACTTATATCTTAAAAAAAAATACATATTTAACTTGGATTTCAAAAAAATTATCAATATGACATACATTCAATATGCATGCGCCATATCATATGGCGTCTCCAATATAGGGTTAATGGACATGTGCCATTTGAAATGGCGCCTCAGTGTGTAATTGCCCTAGTTCTCCAGAGGAGGCGCCATATGATATGGCGCCTCAGTGTAATCCATTTTTTAAATTCATATTTGATGCGTTTTTTTTTTAATTTTTGAATGGAATGGTTATTTTTAAAGGGTAGATACACCATATCATATAGGGACTATACTATTTCATTTTTCTATAAATAAGACTGCACACTCATCTGTTACTTCACAATAATTATCACCTGTAAGTACAGAGTATGCCTAAGAGGGGGGGGGGGGGGGGGTGAATTAGGACTTTAGAATTTTTTCCGGTTTTTATGGTTTCTTGAAATTTTACTGGTTTGTGTTCTTGGTTGTGAAAGCAGTAGACAAACAAAGAGAAAGTGGACACAGGATTTATAGTGGTTCCCCTCACAATCCGAGAGTACTCCACTCCCCTTTCAACATGAAAGAGAGTTTTCACTATTGTTTAATAAAGTACAACCTATCACACCATCAACCGGTGAGGCCTACTATCAAACAATAAAAATAACAAGTGTACAAGAACAATCCTCTTGTAAACACTCACCCTTGTGTCCAACAATCCTGGATCACAAGTCAGAATACAAATACTTGTAATGATTTTGTTTTGTGAATAATAATATCAATGTCAAAATTGATCTTCTCCAAATGATCAAAATTCACTCTTATAATTTTCAACACAAGTGTTCAACAGATGAATATGAAATTTTTATGCAATTATGAACACTTAGAAAGGATTTTGAAAATGGTGAATTTGATTCTAAGAATATTTGAAAATGAATATTGGAGGTGTTTTTCAAAATTGAAAAACTCAGAATTTATATGTGTAAACACACTTTTTCCAACAGGTATATTTGAGTATAATTCAAAATATGAACTGGTATAATTTTCAAACCATTTTTGAACTTGAAACAAAGCCATTTTTCAAAATACGTTCAGTGTTAATCGGTTAACCTATATGGTTAATCGGTTAACACTTGAACGTTATACCAAAATATTCAAAATTTGAAATGGTTAACCGGTTAACCTATATGGTTAATCGGTTAACACTGCTATTTTTCAGAAAAATACTTATAAAAATAGTGTTATACCAATTCTAATAGTTTAAAAAATATGCTAATGCAATGTGATCAAATGATAAAGATGTTGAACACTTGTATATCAATTAAATTAGTGGATTTTGATATACCATAGCTTGTGTCCAAAACTTGAAAGTTGATCAGTCAAATGTTCATGAAGTTTTGAATGTTGATCACTTCCATTCCACTTGATCTTGGTCTTTTGAAAGTGTTTGCCTTTTTGCACAGATGAATTATTCTTGATCTTGATGTTGACGTCATCAAAACTTTGAGATGAAGCTTGCTTCTACAGTCTCCCCTTTTTTGATGATGACAGCCAAAATGATCTTGTGCAATTTTTTTGACGATGATTAGCAGCGATCTTGTTTTCTCCCCCTATGTCCATGAACTCCCCCTATCGAATACATAGGCAAAAATTCTGCACACATAGACATAAGAAAGCCAAATCTCTTCTCCCCCTTTGTCATAAGCAAAAAGGAAGGAGCTTTCAAGAAAGAAAACTAGATAGACCAATAATGCAAGCAATCACAAGAATATGGAAGCAAAGCATACTGAAATTAAAAGATAGCAATACTGCGAATATTGTACGAGTTACAATGCCAAATTAAAACAGAGTTCAAACATAAATGAAAACATAAACATCAAAAACTAGAAAACAATGCAATAAAAGACATCAACAACAACATATTCTCTAAAGATCCTCATCAGGCATATCCACATCATCTTCTTCTTCTTCTTCTTCTTCTTCACTATCATCCTCTTCTTCAATTTCTTCGTCCACAACTCGGGTGTTGGAATGTGGAGGGTTAAGAATGAGGTTTCTGAGGGAGGCAATGGCTCGGGAGGTCTCTCTATGCATATTCATTGACTCTCGATGATGGTTCATCATGGTTGTATAAAGAAACTCACTTGTAAGACCCCCTTCAGGAATTGGATACGCGTGATGGACAGGACCGTCATCGGTATACCTGTAGGTACCGTCAGCCGCTTTGATGATTCCAGTATTTTTGACAATATTAATCTCATTGATCTCATTAGTTGTAGGTTTCATCTTGGAGGACGGTTCCCTGTTGAGGTCTAGTTCAGTTAATTCCAGGATTCTAGAAATCAACCGAGCATACGGTAACCGTGTGATACACTGAAGTTGCTGCTGCAGATGATACATGATGGTCAGAATCCAATTGACCCTTATGCGATTCTTGATTGCGTACAGAAGCTGCATCTCTAAGTCATTAATCTGAGAGTGGTTGGAATCCTTTAGGATGAGGACATAGCAGATAATGTAATGAAGCATTCGATCAGATACCGTCAGATTCTTGGCATAGCACAGCATACGAGCGGTGCGAGAGTTTGCAATAACTGTTTCTTTTGGGAACCTGCAAATCTGATAGTAATACTCCATTTTATCATAATTTCCCAAGGTCCATCTACATGGTTTACACCTTTCCTCAGGAAGCAGCCTTTTGATGGAATCTTAAGGTGTCTAGCAAGGGTGGATAATTTCTCAACAAACTCATGGTCTCTAATGGTGGAACAGATCATGTGGTTCTCATCCATGTCCAGATATACAACCATCTTACTCATAAAAGCTTTAACAAGATCAGGATAAATAATACCAGAGTCGGTGACGAACTTGTCGATGCGCTGATATTCCAATAGTGTAGGAAAGTCAAAAGAAATTGCAGGAAAAGCTCGAAGATTTACGTACTTTACCGGCAGAAGTTGACGAACACGAACTTTGAAATCCATGCGCCTCTTTTTGGTGGTTTCCATTGGAATGCTGTCGTCATCAGATTCTAATGCATACTCAGGAAGCTTTCCCTTTCCTTTGCGTGAGGATGCCATGGATGAAAGTTTGAGAGAACTGAAGTTGTGGGTTCTGAGGAAGTTAGGGTTTGAGAAGTTGTGGGGATGGTTATGAGGAGCTATCCAACTTTAGAGAGTGGGAGAGAGAAGTTAGGGTTTGAAGAGGGAAGTTCCACAAAACTCTTTAAGAGGGGATATGATTTTGGATATGGATTTGGATTCTTAAGAGAATATGGACCACATAAAAAATGCATTTATCATATATAATATTTTCAAAAATTTAATTAATTTTCGTTTATGATTTTTAGAAAATTTAACAGTGTTAATCGGTTAACCATATAGGTTAATCGGTTAAGACATTAAAAAATTGAGTCAGAATTGAAAATTTAACAGTGTTAATCGATTAACCCATATGGTTAATCGATTAACACACGCGAATTTTTGAAAAATACTTAAAAACAGAATGCATACACATGAAAACATAACACAAATAATGCATACACATATTAGAGAAAAGGTCAGATGTCACCTTCATTAAGAATCCCAAGTTCTCGCCGAATTTTGTAGAATGATTCTTTCGCCAAAGGTTTGGTGAAGATGTCGGTGAGTTGATTGTGTGTGTCGACAAAAGTAACATCTACATCTCCATTCAATACGTGATCTCGAAGGAAGTAATGCCGGATATCTATATGTTTTGTTCTTGAATGCATGACTGGGTTCTTTGTAATATTGATGGCACTTGTATTATCACATCTAAGAGGAATGCAGCCGAGATCTATACCGTAATCGAGGAGTTGTTGCTTGAGCCACAGAATTTGTGCACAACAACTTCCTGCTGCAATATATTCCGCTTCGGCTGTACTGAGTGCCACACACGCTTGTTTCTTGCAGGCCCATGAGACTAATGCATTCCCGAGAATGTGACATGTACCGCTTGTGCTTTTTCTATCGGTCTTACATCCTGCATAGTCAGCGTCAGAGTAACCAACTAAAGAACAAATACTACCTTTAGGATACCATAATCCGATGTTCATTGTCCCTTTGAGATACTTTATGATTCTCTTTACGGCTGTGAGATGTGATTCCTTCGGACTTGCTTGAAAGCGTGCGCACAAACAAACGCTAAACATAATGTCAGGACGGCTTGCCGTCAAATATAGTAATGAACCAATCATACCTCGATATTTTGTTATATCAACTGGAGTACCAGATTCATCTTGATCAACGTA